TCAGCCTTACTCTTGCGTCCCGACGGTCCTGAATCGTGCCAGAAAACCATTTCTGAGACTTCAACACTGCGTCAGCAGAATTGTTGCGCCCTGACGTCCCCGCACCGTGCCAAAACACTGCTTCTGGGACATCCGTCGCAAGAATTCGGACTTGCCGCAAACTCTTAGGACGAGTGTGCGCGGCGCCACGGCGAGAGTTTCACTTGAACGCGCGCGGCGCTGAGGCGTGAGCCACAGGTTGAAACGGTGCTGCCCCCTCGTGAAAAAAGCGAACACTGCGCAGATGCTCAACACGGGGTGTGCGTGGCGCCGAGGTGAGAGCCACACCGCGAGAGCGGCCCGCCCTCCCATCCGTGGAGCTCTCGTGCAGTTCTCCTGCCGCGGGAGCACGAGTGGTGAGAACGTCTGAGGCGGGACGCCTGGCCCGCCCTGCCGACATGTCTCGGGGTGCGACAGGGAGGAACGACTTCTGAGGAGGAGGGATGGCGCGGGAGGGAGGAGGGGGAGGGGAGCGGGAGGAGGGGGAGGTGCAGAGGAAGGGGGGAGGACGGGGGCGAGAATGAGAGTGACGCGGATGCGGAGCTTTGCGGAGGAGGGGGAGGAGGGCGACGACGACGACGACAAGCTCGACGATGACGCCGAAGGCGCAGGCCGATCAGGAGCAGGAGGAGGCGCGAGCACTCTTACGAGCCACCTTGGCTTGAAAAGCGCTGCTTGGGTATGTCGAACTCTGGTTATGGTTTGCAGCTTCCCGTCGTGCCGCCTCCCTGCAGATGCTGTTGGTTCGGGCCTCCTCTTTTGTCCGCGCCTCTGGTCTCTGGGGTGCCGCGCGCGAGGTAGTCCAGCCCGTGTCGCCTGAGGCATCCGCGCAACTCTGGGTTCTGAGAAGATGTGCGCGATGTAGTTTGGTTTGTTAGTTTGAGATGTCCTACACCTTCGGGGCTCTGAGATGCTGCGCGCGAAGTGGTCCGGGCCGTTTCGCCCGAGACATCCTCAAACTTCCAGTGTCCGAGGGACAGGAGGGAGGAGGGTTCTGGGAGGAGTATGGGCGCCGCCTAAGACATCGTCGCAACTCAGTGCTCCGAGATGCCGTGCGCGGAGTTGCGATGAGGAGGCAAAGGAGGAGGAGGAGGAGGAGGAGGAGGAGGAGCAGCAGCAGGACGAGGAAACGAGGAGGAGGAATAGCACCTGGAGAGTTCAGATGATTCGTATGAGGGGGACGAGGAGGAGTAAGATGAGGACGTACAGGAGGAGGAGGGGGGAGGTAGGAGGATGAGGAGGAGGAGGAGGAGGCGGAGGAGAGGGAGGAGGAGGAGGCGGAGAAGGAGGAGGAGGAGTTGTTTTGTCCCCCCCAGGGTGGACAGTACCCTCAGGTCAAATCATGGGCCCCAGCTTCGTTGCCGCTTGACGGCGGGGGGGGCCTCTTGTTAAACTCCATCGCTGCCTCGGAGCGCCCTGGCCCCACTCTCCTCTTAGATGCTCGTGTTGGGGACCTTCCTGGGGCCCACCTAACTGATCTGTTCGACTATAGTTCGACCCCAGTTCGACTCCAGTTCGACTCAAGCTCGAACCAGTTTCGGCTCAGGGTCGACTCAAACCGACGGACGTTCGACGCATCTTCGACGCAAGAGTGGAGCGAGTGTCTCCAGGAGGGTCTCCAGCATGAGCATTCGACTCCTCTCTCAGGCAGCTGAAAGCTGAAACCTGTGCGCGGCAGCCTCGGCATGTCGGTCGACTATGCCGTTGGCCTCCCTTCAGAGCTCGGGGAAGACTTGGATATTTGCTCTTACCTCGGACGCGTGAGACTCCTTCTTGTGGGTGGTCAGCTGTGCCTCCCCGAGGGAGGCGCCGCCACGGGTCCCGATTGGTCCGCGGACGCTTCGAACGGGGTCTACAGACCCCTCTGACAACAGAAGTCGAATCGGTGGTGAACTGCAGGGATCTTCCAGGGCTGGCACAGCTCACCACCCGGCGAACCAACGCCGCCAGCCATGGTCCAAGAGCACCGCCCAGCATCCCCGAGAGTGGCCCCGAGACCCTGGCACACCTGCAGGTTCGCCCTGGCCTGCAGGAGCTCCTGGGCCACCTACGAGGGCACCTGGCCCGGACATGCACAGCCAGAGAGGGGTCGGCGGTGAGCTCTAAAGACATCGCAGACTGGCGCAGGGCAAGCTCGACCGCTGGCATGCGATGGCCCAACTCCAGGGCAAGGTGCGCGGCCCAAACGCCTGCCCCTCTCTTGGGGCCCCCGAGGGCCGCACCCACAGCTGCTCGGGTGCGCAAGACAGCCGAGGGCGTCGTTTCGCGGACCAGGGCTCCAGACCCGGAACCAAGGCCTCCTCCTCCTCCTCCTCCTCCTCCTCCTCCTCCTCCTCCACCTCCTCCTCCTCCTCCTCCTCCTCCTCCTCTCTTAGACAGTCGTTTCGCGGACCAAGGTTCCTGTCCCCAAGCTCCAAGGAGCCTGGGGACAGGAGACATCAGGAGAACATGCTGCCCTGGCGGGGCGCAAACGTCCGACCTTGAAAATCCGTCGTGCCTTGTGCAACTGGTCTAACGTCGTCGCGAATTGCTGGCCGTGCTGCTTTCGAGACCGGCCCGAGCCTCAGTCAAGACCCAAGTCTGCAACCGTATTCGATGGGTTGATGCGAAGGCAGCCTTCCGGCTCATTGGCAACAGCCCTAGAGATCTCACGCGCGAGCTCCATGGAACTGGCCACCGCCACCGATGTTCCAGTGATGCCGAGCCCGATGGATGACGCATTCACACAAAATTCGCAAGGCGCCCCTGCAAGAGTTGGCAAGATGACATGACGCGGGCCCCCCGCCATCTGGTTGATACCATCATCCCGCAGCCGAGGAGAGTCCTCAGGGAAAGTAGGCTGCATGCACACGCTTTGATGTGTCAGAAGGAAACGCCCTGGCGAAGTTACAAACATTCCCATCGCCTGTGAGGATGGACTCCGCGGGCTCGATCGGCCTGGAAATTGTACCCTTCGTTTTGATGCATCGGGGGGTGGTGTAAAGCACCAAGGGGAGCCCCGCGGAAACAAGACAGAAGTCCAGAACCAGGGCGGCCTCCATGGCCACGACAGGGCCCAGGGAATCGCAAAACTCAACTCGGCGAAGTCCCACATCAGGCTGCCCTGAGTCACCCCTGCGTAGAGCCTCAGAGGCCCCATCGAGGAACACTCGCAACATACCACCCCAGAGCGCCGAGCCACCCCGAATCGCTGAATCCCAAAAACCGGCCTTACATCACACCAGCACGCCCCCACGGACTTCCGAACTTCCGAAGATGGCTCCAGGCGCGCGAGGGAGAGGGCGGTGGCGCCACTGTTCCCTCCCTCTCCTGTCGATGGCGGTGGGCATCGTGGCTTCCGGGACCAGGTGGAGCTGCTAAGGCCAGGCCTGCAGCCGCCCACACCTCAGGACCAGCTCCGCGGAGCGGCTGCGGGTGCCGCCCGCAGGTCCGCTGGGCCCACGCTGTCGCTCCCACGCCCCACTGCCTGTCCGAAGCCTCGAGCCAGACTCGCGGTGTCGGACGAGTCGATCTGTTGGTGGGCTCCCTGATCGCTGGACAGCCTCTCGGGCGATCGCAAACACCCATTAAGGGGGCGTGTATTAGCGACGGGTCCCGTTTCCATGGCTAATCGCGGATTTCAACCGCCGAGCGAGGCGGCATTGGCCGCATTTTGGGGAGGGCACCTCCCCCGATCCATGGATTTGGCGACCGCGCGCCAAATCCGCAGATCGCTAATACATGTTTGCGCGCCCCCGAGCCTCCTGCACTGCTCACCCAGCCAGCGACCGACCCGTTGTTGTTTTTTGATCTCCGTCATGGTGCCAATGTCGCGGCTGACTTGTCCGAGCACCTCGGCCAGGCCAATACCCACGACAGGCATTGTCTCATCTCGGCGGCGGGCGAGGGGGGGAAGTGAGAAGGAGAAGGCCTTCTCAGAAGGCGCGGAAGTCACCCAGCCCTCTGTGAAGTTTTCTAAGTTTTCCCCGAAGACAACAACTTCGCAGAAGGCGCGAGGGCTTCTGAGAAGTCCCGCCGCCTTCTGAGAAGGCCTTCTCCTTCTCACTTCCCCCCCTCGCCCGCCGCCGATCATTCTTGGTCCACTGGATCGGCTCCCCTGGGCGCCCTCAAGGGCACGACCTTTGGCGCCAAGGGCAGGGCACGCCTGCAGCAGTTCGCGTGCAGCTCCTGCTCCGGACCCAGCGTGCGCACCAGGCGCCGCGCCAGCTTGGGGGGCCCAGCGGCCGCACATGGCGCCAAGCTCGATCGCTTCCTCGCCCCCCGTGGCAAAGGGGAGGAGGAGGAGGAGGCGGAGGAGAAGGAGGATGAGGAGGAGGAGGAGGCGGACGACGACGACGACGACGACGACGACGACGACGACGACCACGATGACGACGACCACGACGACGACGACGAGGAGGAGGAAGAAGAGGAGCGGGAGGAAGAGGAGAGGAAGGGGAGGAGGTGGAGGGTGAGGTGTAGGGGAAGGGGGAGGGCGAGGGCAAGAAGGAGATTGACGCGGGTGCGGAGATATGCAGAGGAGGAGGGGGAGGAGGAGGAGGAGGAGGAGGAGGAGGAGGAGGAGGGGGACCACGACGACGACGACGACGCAAACGAAAAGCTCGACGACGACGCCGAAGGGAGGGCGCTCAAATTCTTTCAGGAGGCACATTTGGCTTAACTAACAGTGCTGCTCGTGGATACTGGGTTCTTGTTTTTAGAATTGGAGGGTAGGCCCAGGCCATCTGTGGCACGCTACTTCCTGGCCAGAGGGGGATACGACGCACAAGTTTAAGCCGCAGGCGTCGCCATCTTCACTACCCAGCCCCACGCCTTGATCCACCCATGTCATTCCGTCCTGTTGCTCACTCGCGCCCTTGTGCCTTGCTGGTCATTGTCACTGCCCCTGTCTTGTGCGTTCCCCCCGTGTCTCGAATGTTCATTCAGACTCCAGCCGTGCTGCCTGCGCGGTCATCCGCAAGGTAATTCCTGAGTCCGAGGTGCCAAAGACGGTCGAGATATTGACACAGCTTGACAACGAGACAATCTGCAAGATGAAGAAAGAGGGCGCCGCCGTGAATTGAAGGAGGAGGAGGAGCGGGCAGACGACGAAGACGAGGACCACGATGAGAGACAAGGAGGACGATGACAGCGAGTAGGACGACGAGTAGAAACGCGTGGAAAAATAGTGTCCCCGACACCTCGGCATCATTATAATGCACATCTTCGATCCCACGCAAGAACAACTTACGTAGCACTCCGCGCTTGCGGATAAGAGTGAGGGGGACGCCCAGACATATTATCTCCATGAGCCATGTGGTGCCCCCAAGTCCTGCATTCATGCACAGCCTGCCCCCATGTATTGCCCCCGAGTACTGTCCCCAAGTGACCCCCCAGAGACCGAGCACTACATTCAGCCACGCGCGTGCAGGTAAGAAGTAAGACAGTTCGGACCCCCTCACTCTGATGATTATACTACCCTGCAGGTGGAAAGAACTCGCGATTGGCCCCACACCTGATGGACAATCATGCTACGTTAACTCGTAGAGCTCTGCCCTGTGCACGACTAGCCTGAAGCAATGTATCCGCCAGGGCTTCGCCCTTTGCCGCCAGCCCTCTCTCTATCAGAATGGGGCATACCAGAGCTATGGTGGGACGCCTGGGCGCCGACTTGACGCAAGATCGGAACCGCACGCGAGGACCGCGGGCAATCGCGACGTCGTCTACAGGGGATCCTGGCCTCGGGGGGCGAGACTCGAGCGTCATTGCCTGGGGATCGTCGCCTCGGAGGCGCGAACCTGGCGCAGCCTGCCACGGAGCCTGGCCTCTCAGCAGCACGGATCGAGCGTACTTCCAGGGGTTCTCGCCTCGGGGAGGAGGAGGAGGAGGAGGAGGAGGAGGAGGAGGAGGAGGAGGAGGAGGAGGAGGGGGAGGGGGAGGAGGAGGAGGGGGAGGAGGAGGGGGAGGAGGGGGAGGGGGAGGAGGACAAGTTAGGTGCGCTCGCGTCAACATCTGACATCCTACCCCTCCCTCCCATCCCTTACCATGGCGCTGATTTTCTCTATCCGCGGACGCGTGTCGTAGCGGACCTGTGGCTCCGCGCGCGTGTGCGTAGTGGGTGGTGGTGCGCGTGCGTGCGTGCGTGTGTGCGTGATTGTGGTTGTTGTGGTGGTGGTGTGTATGTGTGTGTGTGTGTGCGTGTGTGCGCGTGTGCTGTGGTGTGACGTGGTGTGGCGTCTTGGTGGTTTGGTGGTGGACCAGGTGCGTATTTGCGTGATGGCGGTGGTGGTGGTGGCGGTGGTGGTGTGTGTGTGTGTCTGTGTGTGTCTGTGTGTGTGTGCGTGTGTGAGTGTGTGCGTGTGTGCGTGTGTGCGTGTGTGCGTGTGTGCGTGTGTGCGTGTGTGCGTGTGTGTGTGTGTGTATTTGTATATGTGTGTATGTGTGTATGTGTGAATGTATGTGTGTATGTGTGTATGTGTGTGCGTATGTGTGTATGAGTGTGTGTATGAGTGTGTGTATGAGTGTGTGTATGAGTGTGTGTATGTGTGTATGTGTGTATGTGTGTGTGCGCGTGTGTGCGTGCGTGCGTGCGTGCGTGCGTGCGTGCGTGCGTGCGTGCGTGCGTGTGTGCGTGTGTGTCTGTGTGTGCGCGCGTGTGATGTGGTGTGACGCGGTGTAGCGTGGTGGTGGTGGGTGGGCTAGTGCGGTGGTGGTGGCGGTGCGCGGCGGTGGTGCGCGTGCGTGCGTGCGTGCGTTGGTGGGTGGAAGTGGCGGTGGGTGTGCGTGCGGCGGGGCGGGACGTGGTGCGGCGCGGTGGTGGCGGGCGGATGGGCGCGCAAGAAAGAGGCCCGCGCTGGGGCGAGAACGCCATCCTGAACGACGGAGGCAAAACACCGATCCGAAAATGAGGCCCACGCTGCAGCGGGAGCACGATTCGGAACGATTCGGGAGCAGAAATGAGGCCGGCGCCTCAGCGAGAGCAGCATTTTGGGTGAAAAAACAAAAAACAAAAAACACGCAAGCGAAAACCCGTTTCCCGGGAATCCCGTGTGTAGAAAAACAATACGCGGGGGGGTGTCGGATATCTTCGGGACGCCATCAGGGCACTGTGGGAGAGTATTTTCATATTGTGTAACTGTGGAGGGGGGAGGAGGAGGGAGGAGGAGGAGGGAGGAGGAGGAGGAGGAGGAGGAGGGGAACCTGGTGCAACTGACCAACGCGCGCAGCTCCGCGCGCGCGAGCCTGGCGCAACTTTACGGTGGAGTCCGGCCTCGGAGCGGCGCCTCGCGCGCGCTGTGCGGGGGGGGGGTCCCTGGCTCGGGGAGCGCGACCCGAGCGCAGTGTACACATGATGTCCGCCTCGCTCCGATCGTCGTCCTCCTCCTCCTCCTCCTCCTCCTCCTCCTCCTCCTCCTCCTCCTCCTCCTCCTCCTCCTCCTCCTCTCCTCCTCCTCCTCCTCTTCCTCCTCCTCCTCCTCCTCCTCCTCCTCCTCTCCTCCCCCCTCCTCCTCCTCCTCCACCTCCTCCTCCTCCTCCTCCTCCTCCTCCTCCTCCTCCTCCTCCTCCTCCTCCTCCCCTCCTCCTCCCCCTCCTCCTCCTCCTCGTTTCTTGGCCAGCCCGGTCCGAGTCGATTCCGAAGCCCAGACCCTCTCTTGTCATGGAAGAGCACGATCGCTGTTGTTCCGTCCACCTGCGGCCCAGAAGGACGGACGCGGACGCCCGACTTCGAAGAGCTCGCGACGCCTCTCGGGCGGCCCTTGCCGGGCCTCGGGGCCGTCGAGAAACGACTCGGGACGAGAAGCCGGTCCCGGGGAATGGGTCGAGGCCTCGTGGGGTCGACGGCATGAAAGATCATGACGTCGGGGGTCTGTGTATTCCGACAATCCGCTGCGGCGTGATGCTTGCACGGCGCTGTTGTGCGTCCTGGCGCAGCCGGTCCGAGCCGACCTCGATTCCGCGCCGACGCAGCCCGATCCGATGCACATGTCGGTTCGATCCGATTGACCGATTCGATGCTGGCCGATCCTGCACGCCAGCACGCCGGGGCGGGAGCGGCGTGGCGTGAGGGCGCCCCTTTGCAGTGGCAGGGCCTCTCTCGTCCGACGCTCCTGAGTGGGGGGGGGGGCTTTTCTGCGTTTCTGGGGCCCGCCTGACGAATCTGCTCGGCTCCGGTGCGGCTCCACCTCGACGCAAGTCCGGCTCGACTTCGACTCAAGTCGACGGCCGTTCGACGCAGCATCGACGCATGAGTGGAGCGAGTGGCTCCAGGATGGTCGCAGGAACGAGCATCTAACTCTCTCCCTTGCGCAGCTTCGCCTCGACAACTTCCTGGGGGGGGGTCTCCCTGCCTCAGCCCCCGATTCATGTACCGAAGAAGCCTACGGCGAACCACCGCTGCCCCCTGCCTTTTGGGAAAGTCCATGTGGCCAAACGTTGGGCCGAAGTTTTCCTAGCTATTCTATTATGTGTTCCCCCAGACGTTGTGGAAGCCCTTGGGGGAACACTTTGGGGAGGAAAACAAAAAAGAGGAGGAGGAGCGGGAGGAGAAGGACGATAGGGAAGAGGAGGAGGAGGAGGAGGAGGAGGAGGAGGAGGAGGAGGGAGAGGAGGAAAGGGATGCCTCTTGGCTTGGAGCCTAAACCTCTTGGGGCCTCTCGGGCCCTTTTAGGGGCCTCTTGGGATGCCTCTTGGCTTGGCTTGAGGGGCCTCCTGGAGCCTCTCCGGACATTTTAGGGGCATCTTGGGGGCCTCTTGGAAGCTCCTGGGTGACTCCAAAGGGCCTCTTGGCCGTCGGCCTTCGGATACGATCTTGGGGGCCTCTCTGTGCCGTCTTGGGCTTTTCACTGGGCGCTGTGGTGCCGTCTTGGAGGGCTGTGGGGCCATATTGGGGGCCTCTTGGGCCGTCTTGGGGCCCGCTTGGCATGTGTTGAGGCCCTCGTGAGGGCTGGTGGGGCCGTGTGAGGGCCCTCTTCGGGGCTGCTGGGGCCCTCTTCCAGCATCGGAAGCCCGAAAGGCGAGAACGCGAAGAGCACCGAAAAACAGGTTGTGCAATCAGCGATTTGGGCCTCATCAGGGTCCTCTTGGAGCCCTGTTGTCACTTGTTTGGGGGCCCTCTTAGGACGTCTGGGGTGGTATCTTTGGCCGTCGTGGAGTCATAGTAGGCAGTCTTCGTGATATCTTGGCATCGCCTGAAACCATATTAGCCGTCGTGGAGACTTCCTGGGACTGTCTTTCTGGGACGTAATCAAAATCCCATGAGATAAATATCCCATGTAATAAAGACCTCCCTGTACCGTGCCCACCTTGGAGCTATAGATGCCCACGGACGCTGGTGCGCAGGTGGCCCGGCGGGATGCGCCGAGACCAACCTTGAGGAAGGGTTCAAGCAGCTACTGCATGGCACGCCCACAACCCCTCTTTGCAAGCACCTGGGGCGGCGGATCTAGTAGCCCTTCGGCTCATCCCGCTGTCGTGCTTGGGTCTTGAATAGGTGGCTTCTTTGAGGCATCTCGAGGGCTAGTCTTTGGAGCTCCCTGGGCCGCAGTTGCAGATCGATTGGGCTCGTCCTGGGGACCTCTTGGCGGCCCCTTGTGGGCCTGGGGGCAGTCCCGGGGGCCATCTTGGGGCGCAGGGCCCCACAAGCCCCCTTCGAGTTCCCCCCTGCGGGGGGCATCCTCGGGGCCGCTCTGGCCGCCTTGGCTTGGGCGCTCCTGGTGCCGAAAAGGCCAGCACACGAAAGTTCAACCAACAAATCATCACGCGTGTGCCAGTGGGTCATTGCTTTGGCTTGCGTCCGCGCCTCTGGGGTGCTCGCTCGGTGCGCGCCCCGCGCCCGCCTCGTGCCACGCCGCGCGTCAACTATCAGGAGGGAAAGCAACACACTGACACAAAGGGAAATATGGGAAAATATGGTGAGTGGGGGGTAAAACGAACACGCCGGATTGCTGTGCCTTTGTGTGTGTGTGTGTGTGTGTGTGTGTGGTGTGTGGTGTGTGTGTGTGTGTGTGTCTGTGTGTGTGTCTGTGTGTGTCTGTGTGTGTGTCTGTGTGTGTGTCTGTGTGTGTGTC